AGCGTATATTAAAGTTGTTGCGGTTAAAACGTTCGTAGTTGAACTTGTGCTTCATACGGGTAGTACAACTATAATTGTAGTTTGTGCTATACCTTATGTATGTAAGCGTATTACCGGTGGAGTTCTTATATGTAATTGTAATACTTGTATTCTTTACATATTCCTCCTATTTAAACCTGCTTCAATGCTCTTCATCGAGTGCTGTTGTGGGCCGGTACAATTACTTTGAACAAATTAAAGTGCTTAAAGCAGGCTCCAAATGCTTGAATATTTTGTGCATGGAATAATGAAATAAGACCTCTGTTCTACTTTCATTGGTTTTTAGATCAAGAGGTAATGATTAATAGAAGCAGTTTGGGGGCATTAGTATTACGACGCGAGAGGTGAAATTCTTGGACCGTCGTAAGACTAACTTCCAGAAGGTGGAACCCGGGATGTGGCCAATAACTTACGGAAATCATCATTTGTTAAACGCACCGAAGCCGTAGATTCTACTTGTGTTGGTTCAGCCATAATCCTTAAAAAAAAACACAAGTTTTATTATTTTTGCAATATCTTCTGAAAATACAACTTCAATAACAGAGATATCACAGCAAGAGTTGCTAATTGGTATGGCAATAACTGCAGTTACTTCTTCTTCTTCCTTTTGCTTGTTTTTCTGCCTTTTTGGTGCAGGTTGCTTATTCTAGACAACTTTTAATATTTTTCTTATTACTTTGCGATGCGATCATAAAATACTATTTGAATAACACAGATGTCAGTTGACCAGCAAAAGTTGCACGCAGGTATGGCAAAGAACTATCTAATATAACAGATGTTTACAAACATAACCTCAATTTTGCTAATTGAATTTAGGTGCTTTTTGGTGATTAAACGAAGTGTTTACTCTGTTACTGTCTACCACCATCAAGGAGTCACAACATCCTGTCGCACATCTGTAATTATAAAACAAGTCAGGATCACAACACAACGATTAAACCAAAAAAGACAAGAGAAGCAAAGTGTTGTTGTTTATTGTTGTTATTTAACGAATTTGCATAAGTTGCGTTTATTATGAATGATATACGGCTTTTAAAAGATCAGCAACGAGATAAACATCCAGGTTTCGATAGTTATATGAATTGTATGACCAGAGCATTATTTACCGGCTTGGCTTCATTTTGCTTAGGTAAGTAATATTTTGCAAACATAATAATCAATCGCTTGCATAATTTTTTAAAAAACTAATTTCAAGGATTCTCTGGCACATATTTCGCGCAAAAAGTCATACAAAAAAAGTTATACTATCCTTTACAATATAACATATTAATATCAGTATTAACAGCTACTGGCATAGCTTACCACTTAACGAGCATCCGCACAAAATCTTGTCAAGCCGCGTGGATGGCAGCTGAAGATAAGCATACTATATTAAAAGAAAACGAATATTGATTCATATCAGTACAAGACGAGCGACAGTGCCTTAGCTAAATAAATTATTTCCCATTAGGACAAGCGTGTGTTTTCTTTTGATAGCATAAAAATCATTGCAAGTTTGACGCCCAGTCCAAGCGAATTTAAGCGAATTTAACATCTCAAGAAAAGAAGAAAGAATACTGATTTAACAAAACTATATTTAAGCATAACCATAAAGATGTTCGTAATAAACGTGGCAAGGAGATTGCAGGTTTCCACTAGACAACAATACAAGGCTCTGATAATTACGAATACGGCGAATACACCGACGCCGCGTTTGAATGTGAATGAGGATAACTTTAAACGTTTTAAATATACACGTAATATCGGTGTCAAAGGTCTGCGTAGCTCCAAACATCATTTCGAAGGTAAAGAACAAAAAGTTCCTGATGTCGAAGAAAAAGATTTTGCTTACGAAAATGATTCTCTGAATTTAGAGGACAGGTAAAGGTAGTTAGTAGTTAAGGTCTTTGTTAGAATCATGTCTGTATCTATATCATTCATCATTTTTTTTTTAGTGAATATGAAGAAGTAGTTAATGGTGCTATGCATCTTACTCGGAATTTTCAAGTTGCTCATAGTGTTTTAATAATACAACCTTATGTAAAATGGGGTCCTAAACGGAATATGTCTACAAGTCCGGACGATCAATTAAAGGAAGCTGAAGCTTTAGTAAATTCCTTACCAAACTGGCATGTGGCTTTATCTTTAAAAGTTCCTTTAGAATCTTTGGAGCGTAAAGCACTTTTTGGCAAAGGTAAATTAGAAGAACTCAAGAACATAGTTAACGATTTACGTCAAGCTAAGGGAGCCTGTGATAAACGTTTAACATGCCTGTTTGTGAGTAAAGGGTCATTGAGTTTCGCCCAGAAATCGATTTTAGAGTCTTATTTTAATTTACCGGTTTTGGACCGTTATTCAATAGTAATACAGATATTACGTTTACACGCCACCAGTGCAGAAGCTCGAATTCAAGTTGCCATGGCTGAGCTACCATATATTTGGGCCCAAGCAAAAGATGCCAATTTATCCAAGTCAAGAAGAGTTGGTTGGTCTTTAACAGACACGCAAAAAGAGATTCTGAGGACACGAGAACGTAAACTAAAACAAGAATTGGAACGTATAAGAAACCATAGGTAAGTAAGAAACAGTTAATAGGACAATGAATGACCCAAGTGCTTTTTTGTTTTTAAAGCAATAAACAAACAATGCGAGCTTAATATTTTTCTTGCCAAAATGCTACGAAATTTGAAACGACACCTCTCCTTGAAGACCATTATATTAATTCCATAATATTCATTACTCATTATTATTTACTAGAAAGCTCTTACGCAATAAGCGTAAGCAAAACCATTACCCTATTGTGGCCGTAGTAGGATATACGAATGCTGGAAAAACCTCTTTAATTAAGGCATTAACAAAAGAACAAAGCATGCAACCGAAAGATCAACTTTTCGCTACTTTGGATGTTACAGCTCATGCTGGCTTATTACCTTGCAATCTTAAAATCATTTATATGGACACAGTGGGTTTCATGTCTGATATTCCCACCGGCCTCATAGAATGTTTCATAGCGACATTGGAAGACGCTATGTTAGCCGATGTTATTTTGCACGTTCAAGACGTATCGCATTCGTGCTATCAGGCGCAAAAGGAACATGTGGAAAAAACTTTGGAATCTTTAACGCATAATCTGGGCATGAAAGGCGACGAAATATACCAATTGCCACAAATAATAAATGTTGCTAACAAAATTGATTTATTGCAAGATGAAAAAGCCGCACATTTCGACAATTTATTGAAAGTTTCTTGCAAAAAACTTAGCGGTTTAGAAGAGTTATCAAGCGTAATAGAACAAAATATATTGGAAGTGACGGCAAGACGACAGATAATCATTAAAGTGCGTAATGGCGGCCCAGAAATGGCTTGGCTTTACAAAAACGCGACCGTAGTGAGTACGCAGGCTGACCAAAATGAACCTGAATTTATGCTAATGGATGTTATTATCACAGAGATCAGTTTTGCACAATTCAAACGGTACTTTTGCCATTAAAGGTACAGTAAATATCCTTGATGGTCATAACACTTAAAATTAATTATTATAAATTAGAATTTGCAAGAACTATAAACGAGTGCAATGTAATCTAGTACCAAACAAAATCCATACTAAAAAGTTAAAAATTAATTTTGTTCAAGGAAGTGAAGAAGTAATTTATATATCGGTGTAACCATAAACAAAGACGGCATCATGGCCGCTGAGGTAATTTCTTATTGTGTACTTTAATAAACTACAGCAAATAAATACCCATTTAATAATTCTTTCAAAAAATTCAAAATTCATTTAGCTCTCTAGCATCTGCATGTCTTGAAATAAGAAAAAAGTATTAGGTTGGAGCGAAAGTATTTTAAATAGGCAGGTAATTTTTCTTGTAAATAAAAAAACATCTAGCTATTGAGTCATATGGATTTTTTTTTTTTTTTTTAACTGCTGTATAATATAAAAGGAGTCTTTTTTTTTTACCATTCATCATTGATACTTGTGATATTTAAAGTGAAAAACATGTCAGTAGATAAAGTCCATCTAAGACACTGCATTTTGTATGAATTGCAAAAAGTAAGCAACGCATCGGTTGCATGTAAAAATTTATGTGCGTTATTTGGAAAAGATATTGTAAATATTCGTACTTGTCGAAGATGGATTAGCAAATTTCGTTCCGGAGATCTGAGCCAAGGAAGTGATCGGTAATGATGTTTTCCGATCCATGTTGGAAAATAATCCACATTTAACAAATCGAGAAATTGCAGAAGAGTTAGGCATTCATCATATAACTGTTGGATATCACATTGAATCTCTTGGATTTGTGTTAAAGCAAAGTACATGAATAAAATACGACAGAACTTTCCTTCCAACCTATTAAAAACCAAAAATTAGCTTGGCTGGGCTAAAATTCATGTTATTTAGAACTGTATGCAACTGTCGTTGCAGTGTCCGGATTCGTTGAAGAAATTATGGCCCTTATGATTTTAATATACCCAATGTAGTCAGGTTTTTGTAATAAATAAAAAAAGTTTCTTCTCTTACTTTCTTTTTCGCGAATTTTCTCCTATCCTACAAGCAAGAAAGAGTTTTTTTCCTTTACGCTGTCAATGGGTCAATTGTGGATTTACTTAGGTACTTAAGAACACATTTTCTCTCTAATAGCGAGAATATTATATTTATTAATATAAATCATTGACTGAAGAGTTGAGTCATTTGGATTGAATCCTTTAACGGACATCTTGATTACATCCGGCGCTTATGAGGCTTTACACTCCTCGATAAAGGATCAGGTCGATGTGAGCGATGAAGTTATTATTATTATTTTTTTTTTTTTAATTTCTATGAACCACTGATTAAAATGGCAGGTGGCAAACCCCATTTTATACCTTTAAAACCCAATAGTTGCTTTCGCTTTGGTGTAAGTAGATTCAGTGGCCGGTTGGAAAATTGGTTGGGCTTACGGCCCGTCCAATTTAGTAAAAAATCTCCAAGTGATCCATCATTCAAAAAATAACATATATATTACATACGATGAGCAAATAGTGGATTTTTCAATTCGAAATATGTACCTCTGGTATTACGCAAATATTTCTCTTTTTTAAAACGCTACTTATTAACATTTTAATTTTCTTCATTTTTAATTAAATAAAGTAATTCAATTATTCACAAAACAGCCTTGGACGTCTATGTCATATTCAAAGTAGTTTTAAGCATAAATTTTCTTCTTTTTCCCTTACTGTATTAGGCCTGTTTAATACAATTTAGACCCATAATCCAGTCACGTAAGAAAAAAAAAATTATTGGTGGAAGCAAGATTAGAAATTGTTTTTCCACATATAAATTAATTTATAGTTTTTTTTTTTTTAAATCGTTTGATTAAAAGTTTAGACACTTCGTAAGTTGCAATAGTTCATAAAAGTAGGAATAGAAATAATTTCCTAACGTATTCATATTTTTTTTTTGAACTGAAATAAACGGCTACATATCCATCTTACATAAACAAATAGCAAATGAAACCTGAATTTATGTATTTCTCACTGCTGTTGACTGGTTTCTTTTTCCGATTCAGATTGTTTATCTCTTAAAACATATTTTAGTTCTTGATCTATTCGTTCTTTTGCCCGAACCACTTTGGATTGCAAGTAGAAGGAATTACCTTTAAATTTTTCGTTCGCCGCAAATAAATGTTCGCAGTTTTTATGAATTTGTTCTAGGTTTGTTCATGTTTGCAATACCCTTTCTTGTATTGACTTCTGCTCGTTTTCCACCATTTTGAATTAGCTGGTGGTCCAGTATAAACCATTTAAGCTAATGTGAAGGCGCAATTTGAACACATTTGAAAGTGGTCACCCATTAAGCGCGCACATATCCATTTCCGTTTATGTGAGCGTTAAAACGTTATGAAATATTCACCATAATTTTGAGCAGCGCTCTGTTAAATAAAATTTGAATTATCAATTTTATTATGCAAATAAGAACCAATAAGCATAACGAATCAAAGTTGGTAGATATGAATGCAATTTTGATTAGTTCCTAAGATCAATTTCGCTTTTAATGCAAGGCAGAAAGTACTTCGTAAGCTCTGCTTCGCATATATTTCAATAATATTAGTTTTTTTTTTGGTTTGGTGAGTAAGATGGAGTCAATAGATTTGTGGCTTATATGTCCAGATAATAAACTGTCGTAATTTTGGTCACAAATATATATAAAACGCGACAAAAAAAAGAGAGGCCGTAATAACTGGAACCGGTATGTTAAATACGATTGTGTATGTGTGTGTAATTGTACTGGCTGAGTTGTTGAAAGTCAAACAAGAGCGACACAGATTGAATGGAAATGACACTCTTTGAGCACTTGTAGCAGGTGTTATCTGGGATGTCTGTTACAACTCCAATGGAGAGTTTTGCCATCTCCAGCGCGCTCACCAAATATGGCGCCTTCTGATTACCACCTGTTCAGATTGGTCCAGCATGGCTGGCATGCGGTTCCGCAAAGTTCAAGAAATGCGAACATGAGTCGCTGGACACCAATTTTCCGCAATCAAGTTTTGCAAATACCCAAATTTAAAAAAAAATTCGTGCTTAGGAACTTAGTAATGGTACATATGAAATAATTGATTTTTTTAACGGCTTTACGTTCTATTTTGTATAATTTATTTTTTTTATTGAATTCATTGAGTTATATCGTAGTGTTGGGAAGTGAACAAAGTTTTTCATTCGACTGTTTTTTGCTTGCCTTTTATCGTAAAATATAGATACATAAATTTAAAATTCGAAATATCTGAAAATCTACACAAGTAAATTTTTAATCAAAATTATATAAAAAATTTGAAAACACATATTGCTCTTAATTTAAATTACAACAGTAGAGGTTTTGGTGAAAAATGCTCATACAAAACGAAATAGAAGCGGTAACCCTGTTTTGGAATAATTGTCCCCAAACAGTTTAGCAAGATCAGTTAGCTCAACTTAGTTTTAGTTAGTTTATTAGTTTATTGTGTTGCTTTGTTGAGGATCATAGCACAGTTTGTATACATTTTAAATTTGTCAAATTTTTATATTATATTTCTAATTAAAAATTTGTAAAATCATGTTTCGTAAAATGAATAATACTTTAAAATTAGGTGAGTCCTCTTTTCTTTTTGTTTGCTTTATAGCTGAACAATAGTTTGATTTATTGGACTTTGAATTCCTTTTCTGAATGTATCTGTTTAAAATTCGCATAATTGATAAGTGCAAACTTTGCGGCAAACACAAGCTAAGCGTAGTATAGCATGTTTATCAGCCTTGCCCGAGACTCATCAAATGTTACAGAAGACTTGCCGAGACTTTGCTACCGAGATGTTGATACCGAATGCAGCCAAAGCGGATAAAGAGCATTTATATCCTGAACAGCAGATAAAGAAGATGGGAGAACTGGGTTTAATGGCTATCGCCATACCGGAAGAATATGGTATGTTTTGTTTTTAGATGAAATCAATGCAAAGAAGCAAATGATCGATTTATTTAAATTAAACAAGGTGGCACCGGATTGGATTCTCTAGCTTATGCAATAGCTATGGAAGAAATATCGCGTGGTTGTGCGTCCGCTGGGGTTATTATGTCTGTGAACAATTCTCTATATTTGGGTCCGATATTGGCTTTCGGCAATGATAATCAAAAAAAAAAATTCATCGCTCCATATACCACTGGTGAGAAAATTGGCTGTTTTGCTTTGTCTGAACCTGGTAATGGTTCAGATGCTGGCGCTGCTTCCACCACGGCTTCCGATAAGGGAGATCATTACTTATTGAACGGTACAAAAGCTTGGATCACTAACGCGTTTGAAGGTGGTGCCGCAATTGTGTTTGCCACCACCGATAAATCTCTAAAGCATAAAGGAATATCCGCTTTCATCGTAACGAAAGGCATAAATGGATTTTCCATAGGTAAAAAAGAAGATAAATTGGGTATACGAGCCTCTTCCACTTGTCAGTTGATCTTCGAAGATTGTATTATACCAAAGGAAAATATGCTAGGTCAGCCAGGTTATGGCTTCAAAATAGCCATGAAGACTTTAGATGCTGGACGTATTGGAATTGCGAGCCAGGCTTTGGGCATCGCTCAAGCTTCCTTGGAACTAGCCGTAGACTATGCTCAGAAAAGAACAGCTTTTGGTAAACCCATAGCAAAACTGCAGGCAATACAAGGGAAAATTGCCGATATGGCTTTAAAAATTGAATCAGCTCGTTTATTAACTTGGCGCTCAGCTTGGCTCAAGGACAATAATCAATCGTATACAAAAGAAGCAGCAATGGCTAAATTGTCCGCATCTGAAGCAGCGACTTTTTGTAGTCATCAATGCATACAGATATTAGGCGGAATGGGCTACGTTAGTGACATGGCCGCAGAACGTTATTATAGAGACGCTCGTATTACTGAAATTTATGAAGGAACTTCGGAAATACAGCGCATGGTCATTTCCGCAGCTGCCCTTAAAGAATACGGAAGTTAAACAAACTTGAAAGCTGTTAAAAGTTCATTTTTATAGCATTTAATTCCCCTAAGTTAAGGTAAAAGTTTAAATATTAGTTCGTATATAAGTGTACTGACCTTCGTAAAAAAAAGCAAATAGGAATAATTCTTGTAGTAAATGTTAGATCAAGAAAATCATATGAAACTCATTTTTAGGGAATTTCGGCATTTCAGTGCAACAACCTTTTTTTTTTTTTTTTAGTTTTCGGTGGTAATTTCATCTTTGATTAAAAGCGTAATAAAAAGATAAACGATTATTTTTGTAAAGATGCCGTACTCGTTACACGTTACCATTTTAGGCCGTGGTATAATTTTAGTATTCATATCAAATCCCATTTGACCAACGTTAGTTCCCAAACTGTATAAACTGTGTAAAGAATAAGCCAGGCAATGACTATCGGAAGCTATAATTTTAATCAATTTATATTGATTTGCATAAAAATCTTTTGTGTAAGTAAATGAATTATTTTGCTAAATATTGACAGATTGTAAATAAGAAAACAAGATATGTGTAAAAAAAACATTTCTAGAAACGCTATAATAGACTTGCATATAGAACAGAGGCAATACTATCATACAAAACTTTTGAGAATAAACATCAACACAATCAAAATCAGAAAATTTTTTGTGCTCTTGAGTTTTTCTTTACATATTTGAACTGTCTGGGATATTTATGAGTATATGAATATAATCATGTATGAAATAGTTTCCATTTTGGGAATATTTTCCATGGTAGAGGATATTTATGAATATATTCAAATAAAGAAAATCATTCTGAAAGGAGAGGTTTTGAAATTGCAATTTTTATCAGAATCCTTGGCACTGAATTACTGAACCAGCTGGAAGTATTTTGCAGACAAATTGTAGCTGCTAAAGGGCCCGGAAAACTGTTAGAAGCCGACGTTAATTCATCTTGAACTAGCAGCAAATCCCAAAGCATCTTAACAGTCGACGACATTTGTGCGGGACTAAATAATTGCGGTAACAATATATATTTTATAAGAAAAGTTTCAAAATTATTATTTTTTTTAAATTTCATTAATAAAATAAATAAATAAATATGCATCCATCCCATACTGCAGGATGAAACACGTGTCATTTGAACATAAACAAAATAAAAATGATGCGAAGAGAATTTTTCTGAGCTTTTGTTAATTTTCATAGAAAAATGTATGGATTTTGTTTATTTTCATAGAAAAATGTATGAACTTTCATGGACAGATGTATAGATTTCGTTCATTTTCATAGAAAAAGGTATGGATTTTGTTTATTTTCATTCATTTCCCATTAACATCATAACAACATAAGCTATCAGTTCTCTGTGCATTCAATCTATTGACATGTAAGTGGGTAGCGGTGGTTTGTAGACGGTATTTGCGAAAGACGGGCGGTTTCTAGACACCATATGTTAACAGAAAAAACGGAGATGTTGGACTATGCAATGCAGTCCAACAGAAACGACCCTAGATTCCACAAAAAATTCCACTAAAATTGAAAACCAATTTAGTGTTCGTTTTTAAAAATGCTACACTATGTTAACAAATAAATAAATTAGATCATAATTATTAGTACGCGGTTATTAAGACAAATTAGATATGCTGTCTTATAATTGAATTGATTTGTTACAAGAGTTTGGAAAAAATCAAGTAAATTGTAAATTCATAATTAATTACTTTCGTTTTATACAAATGTTTGAAATAGGAAGCAAACGAATTCGCATTTCATTGAAAATTGTAAAAATTATGTGAGTAAGGACAAGAATTGTAAAAATTGTGTGGGCAAGAACAAGAATTGTAAAAATTGTATGAGCAAGAGGAAGAATTGTAAAAGATATCAGAGAAATTCGAAATAAATTGTTTATTAACTACAAATAATTTTGTTTATTCAGAGAAGGACTTTTAAAAGAAGAAGTCTATTTGAATTTTATTTATCTATTCATTAAGCAAGTTAATTGTTTATAATCTCAATCTCCCTCTCTCTCCCTCTCATTTCAATGTCTAACATCTGTTTTATGTTTGCCACATCTGATTTTATTTAGTGCCGGTATGAAGTTTACATTGGCAATCATATCCTTAACTAATTATTACAATAATAATAATTGGCAAATTCTGGCAATTCTGGTTGTGTATTTGTTGATTAGCAAAGAAAGATTTTTTAGGTTTCTCGGCAGAAAGGAATCTTGCCATTTAAGCATTAAGAAATGAAATGATTTGTGAAATTTATTAAAGAAACGATAACTCGTGTCTATTATTATATTGAGAAAATGAAATTTCTTGGAAATTTGTGCATAACCCTGTTAAAGTTAAAATATAAATTTTTCTATTGTCGCAAAAAGTAGCCAGCAAAAAAAAAAAAAGAATATATATATATATATATATATATATATATTTATATATATATGCATACGTATATATATAATCTGCAACAACAAGAAATTTAAGGTAGTAGGAAAAAATACACACACATCAAAGCGGAAAAAGAAGAAGAAGTGCATTAACGTGAGTGGCTTAGCATAGATGACAATAAATAAGGTGTAAAAAGAAAAAAAAAAAAAAAAAAACTAAACAAAATATAAAATTATTATGCTGGCTTATGTTATAAAAGCAGTGTGCAATTGTTTGAAGTGTTTACTAATACGGAGCGGGTAAAAAACTCTAGCAAATCTATTAATTGGCAAAAAAACTTATACAAGCTATAGGTAAGAAATGATTTTTTTTCTTGTTAATAATTACAATTTACGAATTACGTGTGTATTAAGTAAAGTAATATCAAAGTGTATTGCTCGGCTGGTATGTTTGTTATTGTTGTATATAAAAAAAAAAGCTTTTTCTGGTCTTTGATTTCAAACCAGTTTTCCCGTATTTGAAATTTTATGTCAAATGTGTTGTTTTTATGCAATTAGAGACATTATTTTGTAGATTATGAAAAGCGATCTGATCTTATCGCATTGTTTGTTCAATTGTCTTTTGCCCGGTATTTTTGGAATTCTGATATTAGTTACTATACATTCTTTTTCCTGGGGATAACATGTGTTTCTATGTATCAATTTTTTTTGCAGTTGTTTATAAAAAAAATACGCAGAGTGCATACAAAAATGATCAAGATTGAAACTATTTCTTTAAGGTTTAGTGTTATTTTCAATGCAGTCGAGTCTCAGTCAGTGTCTCGAAAGAAAAGTTCTTTGCTTGAAGACAAGTTTAACAAAATAATGGCATTTCACACTTAAAGCGAAATTGAACGAATAGTAAGTCGTATTAAATATGTACTCTGCACATTACGTTCCTGAAGTAATATCGACGGTTTATTTTATATTCATTTAAAAGTAGTACTTAGTTCATAACAGAACTAAGTGACAAATATGAAGTAAAACAATTACATTTGGCCGCGACCGAGTCTTTGTTTCTTATAGCCATTACAGCCTTAATACTGTTTGATAATATTTAGGCTTTGTATGGCGTCTCAAGCTTCTGTCTGAAAGTAGCAAACGTTTCGTTAACAGAATAAAATTTTCATATTCAACAATATGGAGAAGGCGTGGTCGATATGATGCCAATTTTCGTTATTATATCCGTTGTAGTTTATAGGCAATGAGTAATCAATGAAGGCTTCTTTAGGATCCATTGATGGGTTGTATAGTCAAGTCGATCTTGATTTCATCAACACTTGTTGGATATAATGGCAGAACCAGAGGAAGGTTAATACACCAGTAGTACTAATGACAGCAATTTAGTTTTGATTCCATAATCTACTCCCTAACTTTCCCACCGATGCATCTTTGAAGGCACAACTTCTCCATGACATCATCTATCATTAGAGGTGCTGAAGCAGCAAACTTGCCACTCGATCGGCTTGTTTATTTGTAATAAGCCGATTAGGCTACGAACCTAAAGCGTTTTAATTTTCTCTATTCTCTAATTTGTTAACGGTGCTCCTGCTTGAAGTCGAGGGATTCCGGTTAGCTTGTAATACATACAGACTACTAGAAACAATAACAGTTTTAACTTTGTTTGTATGAGCAAAGTTCATAGCCTTGGCTTTGGTTGTAAACGTTGAAGTATGTGATTAAGCAGAATTTTTCTGGAAGCATCTACCACGACAAACCAAGTATATGCAAGCAATATGTATAACAAGATCCTTTCATTAGCCAAGTGTTTGCAATAAACAACAATGGCTTGCAGAAAACTTCGCTCTCGTAGTAATGAATCTTCAGCACTTGCTAAAACTTAAGTACATACACCAGTCCGAAGACTTACAATAATACTTAGTATATGCAACAACTCAAAGTGCTTGCAACAACATACTTACTTGTGGAAATTTCATCGAGGTCATGGACGTCCATTACGGGCAACAGTCCAGGTATATAAACGCATGCAATAATCCCAAGAGTTTCTTGCAACTATCTTCAAGCAACACATATAATAAGCAACACCGAGTTAATCAAGATTCAAGAACTTCAAAAGCCCAAAGCTGGAAGTAATTGCTTTAACGGTTTTATTTTATTTATTTAGTTGAGACTGAACGAACTCGAACTCTGTCTATGTTAATTAAAATAAGTTAAAGGACGATAGTGGACCGTGGTTCACCATTAAATAGCTTACATCATCCTATAGGTATTCATGTAACGACTTTTCAAAATGAGCCGTTATACGGATAGGGGTCGAAAAAGTGATGTGATCCGAGCCAAGACATTTTATTAGGTAGGTTGAACACAAAAACATAGACGGACGGACAGACAGGCCTAATAGTATAATAAAAAATTGGTCTCCCTCAAGTCGTTCTGGGTGTTGCATACGTCCGACGAAATTTTTACATATCCTTGTACCACGAGTGGTGTAAGATATAGTTCGACTTCAGATTAGTAAAAGTGGCTCGCCATGTAATTGTAACGCCAAGTCTCTTACTGTACAGTACCTATAAACCATTATAAATCATTACATGATAATTTACTATTCTAGGGGGAAATCATAAAGAAGTAATGCCTGTATAGCTAATAATCGTCGAATTCTTGACACCGCATCATTGGAAAGGAGTCTCTCATGCAATGCATACAATATATCAGTGGTTGTGTCATAAGATGGGAAATAATATATAACCAGATGAAAACAGGTATAGGCAACTGTCGACCCGGTACATTCAAAACTTCAAATAATTCAATGTGACCGCTACAAATGCATTGTATCTGTCATTATTGTTGGCTCAGCTGCGCAGCTATTAAACTTGATGTGTTGTTGTTGTTGATTTTATGCCACAGGCCATAAAATAAACAACTTAGGAGAAGGGAGAGTTGCCTTAGAATGCTGTATTTTTAATAAGAGTCGGGTTTTGTTCGAGGCTCCATAGTGATGTAAAAATTGAAGTTTGTCCGCCGATGGGAAAAGTTACCAAACCCTGGGATTATAGCAATCATCTATTGAGACGATTTTTATAGAATGCCTTAACCTTGCTAACACCTCACTTGGCGGACTTGATTTTAATAAGACGGACAAAGGATTCGTCTTAGGAGTTCTTCTCTGAATCTTCCTTTATGAAATCGATTGACTCAGACCGCTTTCTTAGCGTGCACCACTGTTTACATCCAAATGTACTTCCATTGCGACTTAAACAAGAACTTCGTGATTCCATATTGGATGATATCAGAATTCATTCGAGTAGAACGAGCCAAATTTTGAATTAATATATGTATGTATATATTTTCTATTAAGAGCATAATATTAACGGGACTGTATGTTAAAACATTTCTGCTCTTAGATCCATAAAAGTTGAATTTGAAGTAAAGGAAAAAATTTTCTTCAAATTCTTTTACCCAAATGATAAAATCGAGCGATTTTCGAGTTTTTCTTTTTATAGATTGAAGTATATTTCCATCGTTCCCTTTGTAACATTGTAGAGGCTGTAAAATTTTTAGTTTTTTTAATACGTGTCCGTCCGTCCATATGTCCGTTCGCATTGGTAGTCTTAAACTTTCAAAAACGGGCTTGACACCTATACAGTTCACACCTATTCAATTCCGTAGGTTACATCTTAAAAATGGACGAGACTTTGGAGACTTTCTATACGCTTGCGCTTCTCACGAAGGCGGATGCAATTTCCGTATTTCTTTCTTTAATAAGAAACTATAAAGTATTAATTATACACTTGCATTTATATTGAAAAATTCTTCATATATTTAGTACTTCACTTTCAAAATTAATGTGTAAATGTAAATAAAAAAAAAGATTTTTTTTTTTTTTTTTTTTTAAGTTCAATGATACATACGATGGCTAAAGCAGTGGAAAAAGAAAGTGAATTTGGTTTTTCTTTATTTTATTTTTATATTTTATATATACATATATATGTATATAATTGTTTTTTCGTTTTCAGTTTCTCTTCCAGTGTTTATGAATATTTTTATTGCTTTTACAATACACCCAAAGATTTCTTACTTTTCAACAATTATACACTATTGTTGCTATATACTGGATGCATATATATAAAAATACATAGTTTTGTTAAGTACAAGCTCTTAGTTCGGCTAAGACATAGATGTATAAACATGGCCGTTAACTTTTTATTTTTTTTTCTTTTAATTGTTGTTTATATTTTTATTTATTTATTAATTTATTTATTTATTTATTTATTTTGTTTAATTTCTCAAGTATAAATGTATTTTTATTTATTTAAAACTAAAAAGAAAAACATTACAGCAAAGAATCATGAGTGGGTTTTAGATAAAATAAATTTTGTTGCTCCCTACCTGTTGAAAAATGCAATTCTTCTTCTTTTTAGTTTAAAATGAGACCATTGAAGTTATGCCTATGTTATTCGTATGCGTGCATGCTAACACGTACATACATACATATAAATGTGTGTGTGTGTGTATGTGTGTGTGTGAGAAAAGACCAATTAAAATATTTTCTAAACAATTGTACTTTGCGTTGTTTTTACTGCACAAAGGTTACCGTTATATTATGCAGTTGTTACTCTTAACCATCCATGCCATAGAAAACCTACTTCTATTAGCCTTTTTTTTTTTTTTTGTTTGTTTTATGTTTTTTTTTGCATTTATTTTTCACGGTGAAAAGAAACCGAAGACGAATGAATTCACATAAGTAGACTCAGTTATATACATACGTACGATACGATGCTTATGTAGGCAAGGCAATGTGTACCCTTTTCTTTCTTTTTTGATCTCTTTATTTGTATGCAAAAAAACCATAGGCCAGAAAAATAATAGTAATAATAATAACAACGGCAAGAAAAAAAAGAAAAAGCATACATCTGTTGTGCACTTTTTTAATACATACATAAACAATAGGAGTATGTTTGACATTTTTGTGTTATTATGTTGAAAAATATGAGAATTTTAGATAAATTGAACAACATATATGCCGTAGATGCATGTAAGAAATTGCTTGCACATATATACATGCATATATATATATATATATATTCACATTCACATACATGCATAAATATATATATATATATATATATTCACATTCACATACATGCATATATATATATATATATTCATCTTCTTGCAATGATATTATTTGCAAAATGTATCGTAATTTTTCATCTAACTACAAATCCCTTAATAGAATATTTTAATGTACTCTGATGTATGCAACTTTGTGCATAAATATCACCATACAATTGTTTTATGCTTAAATGCATCGCACTTGCCGTCAACATTATATATTATAGTGCAATTAGATC